CTGAACAGCTGCCTGGAGATGGCCAGGTCGAGCCAGGACCACTGCAGGATATAAACCCCGAGGAATAATCTTTTGTCCTTCCTTAGAGAAAAAAATTGCTAGGTTAGAGGCAGTGCTCCATTGCCCATGGGTTTGAAAGGAGAATTTAGGGGGTGGGACACAAGACACACAAGAATTAAAGAGAGAAGGATGACATGCCTACACCTTCACAAGGCAAACCGCTAGCAGTTGTAGTATGGATGTAGTGACGGTTGTAATAGTGTTTAATTGAGGATGTGGGGAGGGAGAGGGTGGGAGGAAGAAAGAGAATTAAATGAAAGACTTAAATATTTACTTAAACAATCAGGTATAAATTCGCCATATATTGTAAAGAAACAATCACTGAAAAAAAAAATTAGCAAATTTTACCTAGCTCTCGTTTTATTTATGACAACTGACTATAAGTTGTCATCTTTTCGAAGACAAATCATATTTAAATACTATAAATGAAACGGGAAAGAAAGTGTAAATTTCAACGTTTTAAACGAAAAAAACCATAACGGAAACTAACCTTCTGGCTTCTGGCTCACAAGCTTTCTTCAGGAAATACCTGTGGAGAACGACAGTTTAGCAAATACACACAACACTTAATTGAAACTTGGAGTTGTGCAACGCACTAACATTGGATCATTAAAATAGCTCCATCGCATGTTCGTTTAAAGGTGACTAGTGAGGAGTTTAAGGAGAAGCCAAACAATGTAAATATGGTCATTTTGTTGTTGTCTACTTTAAATGTCACGAGCTCTACTTTGTCGTCCAGTCGACATATGCAAAGAATGGAGAGTTGTTCGGAGTTATTTTAAATATCTATAAATATATATATTTCCCTGCAGGAACCAAAGCGTGAAAAAAAAGCAATTTAAAAAAAAAAAAAGACAAAAAATGGAAAATATTTAAAATTCTATATCAGTTTACAAAAGATACGGTGTTCTATCGTTAAGGTAATTTGCTGTTGAGAATATCTGAATGTATATTTCATACAGGAACAGTGTTTTACAAGACTTGTAAATAATTAAAAAAAAGAACCCATGACCTATTTTGTTCGAATGCTTTTTTTCCCCCTGTTGTTTTTTTTTTTGTTGTTGTTCCTTTAGGGGCTAAAGGGTGTGGGATTTCTTTACACGTGCAACAAAGTGGTGATAAGAAAGTTTTTTGATTAATAAATTTACTAAATGGATGTAATTTCTTTGACACGGTTCACAAAATGCAATATCTTTATATGACATCACTGTTTTCAATATGTATCATCTATATGTATATACAGTTTTCTTTTAATATGCGAAAGCATTTGGTTGCATGTATACAGTGGAACAGCGCACAAGGAAAATAAAAGAATGGAAACTTTATATTTTTACTCTGGTGTTACATTACTGTATGTTCTTTTATCCGATGTAACTCTGGTACCCGAAATCCCTCATGACCTCTTTAAGTCATTTGGGGTGAATTATTCGTCTTTTATGAACGTCGCCGTTAAATCTGGAGCTACCGAGTGGACCTAGACTTGGTCAAGCACCGTTTCAGCGGATGACCTAGGCTTGGTCAAGCACCGTTTCAGCGGATGACTGCTTGCTGCCTGTTAGGCCTTTTCCTTATCCTGTCATGGACAGGTCCTGTGCTCAGGGGTTTGATGTGACATTGCAGTTTGCTCCCTGCAACATGTGTCCAGGAAAAACATTTGCGGTGTTGGTAGCGTCTGGGGCAGATTTTGTAAGCCCGACTCCAAAGGAAAGGTCCAAGCCAGTCCATGGATGTGG